CCGACTCAGAGACCCCGCGCACAGCAGAACGAAACGCTGCCCGGCCTGCACCAGCCTCGCAAGCCTAGCTATAGCTGAGCCCATCGCTGCAGCCACTGTGTCCGTCCATCTCGTTGAGGGCCTCCCCCTTTTTTGCTGACCCTCCACTCTACTAATGGAATTACTAATGCTGCCCTACAGAGATGGTCCCTTCTTACAACATGACCAAACACGTGAGAGTAAATCGGGCCATTCTTGCTTCCAGGGAGCATTCTGGCTGCACTTCTCCAAGGAATTATAACAAGTGTGTGTGGAGGGGAAGGCCAGTCCTTGAAGGTCGCACCCTGTGGGGTCACATGCAGGTACCCCTCCTGAACCGATGAACACGATGATGGAATGGAGAACACGTCAGCGGTGGGGTCAGGAGCATCATGGGGAGGCGGGTGCTGCAAAGGCAGCGGGGGCCCGTGCTGAGGGGGCTGTTCCGCATTGTCACTGTACCAGTGCAGGGCCTGGTTGTCACAGGGCCATTTGCAAGACGTTGGCACTGGGGGAACCTGGGCAAAGGGGCGGTCCCTGGGAGGGGCAAATGGCTCGTGCTTGAGTCCCAAGCTGAAGGCTGGCCGTGCAGATGCACCTGTGGCCCCACAGAGGAAAGGCCTGGTGGTTGCTTCTGTGGAGACTGCAGCAGGCAAAGCCCTAGGGGGCCCTTCTGCTCTGTGGCACAAGAGGCGGCCTGAGTCGGAACCGGCTGACTGGCCCTTGGTGTGAGAACATGCTGCACTGTGACTGGAAAAGCATATTACAAGTAGTTTAAACCCAGTCCAGTCATGCGCCGCTGAACAGCCATGATCCGTTCTGTGCGACATGGACGTACGATGTGGACATCGTGCAATGTGGACGTTGTGCAATGTGGACGTTGTGTGATGTGGACGTTGTGTGATGTGGGTGTTGTGTGACGTGGGTGCTGTGTGACGTGGGTGTTGCGTGATTAGGACTGTTCTGGTTCCCCAGTGCCGTTCTGACAGGAGTACACCGCAGATGAGACGGCCTCAACAAACAGGAGTTTGTTCTCTTACAGTTTGGAGGCTTTAAGTCTGAGTTCAAAGGGCCAGGCTCTAGGGGCTGGGTGAAAGCCCTTCAACCTCGGGGTCCAGCTCTGCCTCCTGCTCCCGGCCCACTGGAGCTAGAGGCATTTCTTCACTCAGAGAGCTGCTGGCTGCTGAGGCTGACAAACCCAAAGTTGACAAGTAAAAAGGCACAGTCCCGATGTTACCAAACCACAGAGCAGGCCATTAATTCAAGTCCATGAAAGTCCCAAGGTCGGCTGAGCATGGCAGGCTGTTGAACGATGACTCGGCTACATGCAGGGTCCAACTGTGCCATAGGCTAGAGACTGTTCCCAAACCTGCTCCTTATATACAGGAAGTGGACCACATCCCCAAGGCAGCTACTCAGCTGCTCACAGTAGATCCGACCACGGAGTTGATGGCTGGTCTCATCATGGGGAATACTACATCCAGCTGCCCAGCCCCTCAGCCAGGCCCGGCCAAGTTGACACACAACCTTAACTACCACAATGACGTTGTGTGATGTGGACGTTGTGTGATTAGGACGTTGCATGATGTGCATGTGTGCAACATGGATGTTGTGCTAACACTGCTAGCATAGTCTGGTCCCACTTTTTCTTTAGGCCTCTTGACCAAGCTCCCCACCTCAGCAGTGGTCATCATTGTGCTGAGAGGGGCCCGCATTTGTGTTGGGTTCTCCCTCCACATCGTCAGTGATGTCTCCGTATGTGATGCAGGTCCCTCTTGCGTCCTTGTCAGTCCTTTAGAGTTGGAGGATGTCTGCTGTGTTTTGAGGGTCATCAGGATTGCGAGTGCGGCCTGCCTGAGTCCCACGCAGCAGCGCTCACTGATCGTCCCCTGCGAGTGCTGTGGTCACCTTTTGTTTCACTTCCAAGTCGGTGCTTCTGCTTTGCGTCCTGCTGCCCCAGCTCTGGCGCTGGCTTTGCTGCATGTGGGAGCCGTGGTGCACTTCACGGTGACATCTTCCAAAGGCAATGAAGAGAGAGAACTCTGCAGCCCTCGAGAGACCGGCAGTACGTGAGACTGGCCACTGCCGCCTACGAGTCAAAGCAAATACTTACGCGGTAAACTTCTTAGAATGTACAGTCCATCCACACCTCAGCCAGTGACACAGGCACTTAGTATGATCATCAGGAAACACGTATCATGGGTTATGTATGTGCTGTACCATGTACGCCTGGCAGCACAATCGCTTAATATACAGGAGACATGCCACACGTGTGTCTTATGCGGAAAGTTTCTGAGTTTGCTACGTCTCATTCTCCGATCGGGATTTCTGAACCCTGTGTAACCCTATGGGACCATGGACGTGTATGGGGTCTGACGTTGCCCAGATGGACGTGATGTGTGAGGTACTTCAGTAGTTCGCTGTGCCTCAGTCTGGCTGCGTACGGGCAGGGACACATGGGTCCGAGAGGGGAGGTGGGGACCCCTGCCCAGGTGGTGGGACAGCACTGGTCAAAGCCAGGTGTCATCAGCGGTCAGCCCTGCCTTCCACCTCCCAAGATGCAGCAAAGTGCTGCCCCCCAAGGCCCAACGAACAAGCCCCCTCCTTTTGGCTGCCTCGGAGCACTGGGCCGTGAGTCCACTGCTTGAGTTCTGGGTTCTCAGAACCTTGGCCTTCAAGCTGCAAAGTGGGGATAACAGCACCATGTGTGGAAGCATTGCAGGGACTTGATCATGTCAAATGTCGATTCTGAGGTCTGGCAGGCGCACACTTGGAGGGTTTCCAAATGGGAACCGATCGTCCTGTTCCCTTCTTGACCACTAGGAGGCAGTCTTCTGGGTGTTCTCACCTGGGGAAGAGTGAGGAGAGAGGCCGGGAGGGAGGGAGAGGAAGAGGGGTGGAGAGGGAGCCAGAGACAGACACAAGGGGAAGGAAGGACACAGAGTCGGAGAGAGGGGGACGGGGGAGGAGCAGGCAGAGAGATGGGGAGAGGGAGGAGGGAGAGGGAAAGAGGGAGAGAGAGACGGGGGCGGAGCAGGCAGAGAGAGAGCTGGGAGGGGGGAGGAGGGAGAGGGAGAGAGGGAGACGGGCCTCCCTGCTCTGGGGGCTACGCCCTCTGCCACCCACTCTGGGACACCTCAGTGTGGGCCACCCAGGCCCACTGCCCCAAAACTGGGCCCTCTGGCCTCCCCTGGGGAGGGGCTGT